AACACATCAATAAATAAATGCTGCCGTACCTGATATTAAGCTAAATTGCACTTGATTTGTTTCCATACTTATTGTCAGCGCGTCACATTTTTAGTGGTTACGTCACGTGTATAATGATTACGTCACATGTCTAAATATAGAACGTCAAACAGTGACTTTATAGCATAATAACACACACTTTCGGTTCTTCTATGTTCAATAGGGAAAAATGCGGGTCGTGTTAGAATTTTGAATAACATCTCTTTAGCAACCGAAGACCAGATGTTGTTGTTTTAATCTGTCATTGGTGCATCATAAACTTATGGCTTCTCCAACACTATTTTGGTGAGCTTTTTAGTATTTTCTTTCGAAATCGATAAAGTATTTAATTTCGTTCGAGGCATTTTGTCGTGACGCGACCTGTCCGTGACTGTGCGCGTCCGTAAAAAATAGCTCATCCTGCGAAGGGTATGCCACAGCGAAACCTGTATTTTGTGGCCTTACGAGCGGATGGACCCTCATTAAGCATAGGCTATAGATAGATAGCATCATTGATTTGATCTGCATTTTGAACATGAAATGTAATGTTTTTTATGAATGGTTTTAAAGCAATTCAACAATAAAGTATATTGATCTCTAAATTAATCAATTGACAACAGATTTTTTATATACAATGTATTTATGTGCATCTGTTGGCCGATAAGCAGGAAAAACTGTGTACTAGTATTGGGAGATCAATAAAAACAACTACAGTATATGAAGTTGAAAAAAGGGCAAAATTTATTATGCCATTAGAACAAATATCTATTAAGCAAAAGATATCCCCATATCTGGCTGAAAAAATTCCGCCATTACAATAACAATATGAAAAACAAAATAAAAGGCAAATAGAAAAAACAATAAAAAGGTGTTAAATAATAGCCAAGCAGAAACATCTGATATAATGAAATAACGAGGAGGTGGAAGGGGAGGTGGTGGATGAAAAATAAGTTAAATAGCAGGAATAAGACTAGCGATATGAAACACGTAAGAACGTTCTGAAAAAATTTCTTTGTTATGAAGAAGCTGCACGCTGATTGGACGGTAATGATCACGTGCAAGCAGGACACTTTCTGATTGGCTATTAAACTATATAATAAATTAACAGAAAAGCAAAGTGGCGTTTAATTACCGAAATGATAACTTGCGTTTAAGAAATGAAATTAGCCACAATGACATAAAAGATTTTATCTGGCTATAAAATATATTTATGTGCATCTGTTGGCCGATAAGCAGGAAAAACTGTGTACTAGTATGGGGAGATCAATAAAAACAACTACAGTATATGAAGTTGAAAAAAGGGCAAAATTTATTATGCCATTAGAACAAATATCTATTAAGCAAAAGATATCCCCATATCTGGCTGAAAAAATTCCGCCAAAAGACCAGATTATGACAAAATCTGGGATGACCGCCAGATACACAGGTATGCTTAGCGGCAAATTAGCCTCATATTTATAAAAGATAATTTTAAGCAGGCAAATTAGATACGTATCAGGTATGTGTATATAAATGGTATACTTGCTAAAACGGGAATTAGGTGAATGAAGTTTATTAACTCTATAATTGAAAAATGTATTGAAGAATTGATATCTAATATAAAATAATACTGATACCATGTGTAAAAATATTGATAAGACATAATTAACAAACAAATTATCAAATATAAGTGAAGATAAATGTTATAGAAACCTTACATATATAAAAACAATGTGGACTTTCGATATCCTTTTTATGTGAAATGGTATAAATTGGTGTTTTATGCCAACTATTAAGCATTAATGTTAGTCACCATGGTTCTTCAACTACAATGGTAATATATACATCACATAACAATTCTATGATGCCGCCTCACAACGGTCAAAATAGCCAAACTAATACAAAGACATGTTGTACTATTTACAAATAGTGTCATATAATTAGAAGTACAGGTAGTTTGCCGCCTCAGTCGGTCAAGCTGGTGTGTACAGCAACATTTACAGAGACTTATTGCTAGTGCCGCCTCAGACGGTCACGCTAGCTGACATAAATATAAATTGTATCATAGTTTGGGGACGTTTCTGTTGAAAAAGTGTCAGAGATAAATCGTATACATATACATGCACAGTGCGGTAACTGGAGTGCAGGTATCAGTTACCCGCACTCCAGATCATGCCCGTTGATTGGCTCATTTTTGCTGGGGTTTACATATTGTGACGGCAGAGAAAAGGAAAGCGGCAGAAATATCATATTCAGATGCTCGTTCATTGGTAACTTTTTCCCGGGGTTTAAAATCGGGACAACAGGGAACGTGTTTTTATGTTTGACTATGATACAAAAGAGAAAGAACACCAAAACACTCGGCAATCTGATTTATACTCGGGGGCTACGCCCCTCGTACAAATCAGATAGCCTCGTGTTTCGGTGCTCTTACTATTACTAATTTACAGTTAAAAAGGCTTAACAGTTCTTGCCAATATGATAATACTTGCTGCCTCAGTCAGTCAAGTTTTTAACAGAAATCGTGTGGCACTTTTGATTATGTACATGTATGTATTGTCAACTTCACTCCACTGGATCCAAACCCGTATGAAGGATATCAAACATTGGATTGTCCAAAGCACTCTAGGACTTGCTGCCTCAGCCAGTCAAGCCAGAAATTATATTGTATAGTTGAGTTAAATCTCCTACCTTAGACAGGTCAAATAGTAACTTTAAAATTGGATGTAGGGGTAAATGGTTTGTTTTGACATATAGTTAAACCGAAATCTCGCTGCCTCAGACAGTCGAGTAAGTAAAATATTTTCCCTTTGATTTAAGTAACAGGGGTAGGGTTAAGGGAAGGTCTTAAATACTTTGTGTAAGCGTTTGACGACCAGCGACCTAATTTTTGTATTTGAGATTCTGAGAAGTTCCTATCGTGTGCTAAGGTCGCCCCCCCCCTATCCGGAAGGAATGTGATGTATATTTGGTAGGGTCTAAATGGCAATGTTCTACACATCGCTTTAATAGCCGCCTGAAATAGCTGGCTGTGACTGTTTTCCCGCAACTAAATTGAAAAAGAGGACCTGACTTGTGGGTCGTAACAGAGCAGTATTTACTCAAAACTCTAACCGGACAGAGTAACCGATTTTTAGCTCTGCTGAGGATGATGGTGGATGTTTGACCCTTGGAGTGTTTATAGTTCATTAGTTTTAATGAAGCTTTGATAACCTTGCCATTCTTGTATGAAAATTTGACATTTTCTCGATTGATAATATTGGCGGAGCCATTTGAAGTCGTGGTTATTTCGCTTACCCGGAGAAGTGCATAGAAGGCAAGAAGAAACATGGTTCTTAAAAGAAGGGTAATATATGTATCATGGGTAATCAGACTTAGACTCTGTATCAATTTTTGCAAAAGATTTAAGGTAAAACCTAAGCGTTGGTCAGAGACCCTTTGTTTTCTTATGCTATATAGCATTTTCTGTATGAGAAACGTGTGAGCAGGATTTGGGAAATCATACAGGCGGTGAATATAGGACAATGCTGAAACCATGGACGTAATGGAATTTGGCTGTAAGCCTAAGTCATGGCATACTGAAATGAACTGGGCCAGCTTATGGGTTGAAATCGGGAGCATTGCCTGGCCTGTATAATGTGTGTCATGAAAACGTAAAAAATGTTTAAACGCATTGTGATATGATTTTTGAGTTGACTTTGCCAAGGAATTCTTAAGTATACGAATTATAGATTCGTTCATTGCAGCTGTAGCAGGTGCTCTGGCACGTTTGTGGGCTGAGGGTCCATGTTTGGAGCTAATAGGTGAAACCTTTGTACCTGTAAACGGGAAAGAAGGTCTGATAAAATATTTTCTTTTCCAGGAATATGCTTTGCTTTTATCAATATATTGTATTGCATGCATGACAAAATTAAACGTCTCACCAACTTCATAATATGAGTATCTTTGCAGGACTGCTTATTAATGATGTAGACCACAGCGTAGTTGTCGGAATATAGTGTAATACATTCGTTTTTTAAATGGGGACCCCAAATTTCTAATGCCAATACAATTGGGTAGAGCTCCTTAAAAGTAATATGAAAGGACAAAAGATGACTTGGCCATGGCCCGTAAAACCAATGTGTTTGAAAAACTGCCCCGAAACCTAAAGAGCCTGAAGCATCTGTATGTAACGATAAAGAATTTGAAGAAACCCATCGTTGGTGTTGCAGCAAGTTTTTGCCATTGAAATGTGTAATGAATAGATCCCAGGCTAACATGTCTCTTCTACTTTCCTTAGATAGAGTTATGCGATGGTGGGGTTTTTTAACCTTGATAGTTAAGTCAATCAAACGACGCAAAAAACATCGCCCAGGTATTACTACCAAACAACAGAAATTTAATAACCCAATCAGAGATTGTAACTCTTTTAAAGTAATTTTTCTTTTATTCTTATGGAAGTCTAACAATGCTTTAAGTTTTGTAAGCTTATCTTGAGGCAAACGTGCTTCCATTTGTAATGAATCTAATTCAATGCCCATGAATGTGATTATCTGTCTAGCAGATTCTGTTTTTTCGTGTTTAATAGGGACGCCTGTCGAGTGACAAAAACGTAAGAAAGAGTCAAGATACATTTGACATGTTGGGAGATTATTGGCTACCATTAAGAAGTCGTCTAAAATGTGGACAATATGGGAAATACCTAATTTATATTTTGCTATCCATTGAACTGCAGTACTAAAAGATTCGAAAATGTTACATGAACTAGAGGAGCCCATCGGGAGGCATGTGTCGTAGTAATATTTCCCATTAAATTGAATACCTAAAAGATCATAGTCAGAAGGATGGATAGGGACTAGTCTGAATGCATTTTTTATATCTGTTTTAGCAAAGAAGCTGTCTTTTCCACATTGAAGGAGGAGATTGACCGCATCATCAAATGATGCGCATCATACTTGACAGTTTTCATTTTGGGGTCTAGAAAATCATTGAATGATTTGCCTTTAGGGTGACTTAAATGGTGAATTAAACAAAATCTCCGGACTTTTTGGAAACCAAACCAATAGGACTAATTTGCAGAGATGGAAATGGTCTCATACAGAAGGGACCTTTAAGTCTTTTTGCTTGAATTTCCTCCTGTAACTTGTCACAGATGATGTCCGGATAATCTGAGCACGATTTGGTTTGAGCAGGAGGAGGGTAATCGAGGTCCTAAATAACCTAGTTTGAACCCTTCTGAAAAACCTTTAATCAAATATGTTTTATGAAGATAACCTGTAAGATATTCGCTCAGTTTTTGAATTTGAATAGGGGTTTGAACACTCGACTTATTTCTTTCTGATGGGATGGGATTAGGTGGTTCCAGTTGGAACGATTGTTTGTGCACCGGTTGTGGTAGAGGCCTGCTCTTTGCTGTGGAATGAGCAGTGACCGGAATGGTGGGACTTTCTGCAGAAACCGCAGACATGGGGATGTGGACATCTGGGTTCTCTACAGAGACCTCTTTTATTGAATGTCCAGCAGGTGTTATCAAGGAACTTGGATTGTCTTTGACTTTTGTAGTTGGTGTTCCGAGGGAACCTGCCGGACCCCGCCCGAAAGGGACGATTAGATTGACCATTAGAGAAGTTTGACATGGTTGGTTGCGTAGTGGCCATTACCCAGAATTCCATGTGTAGAGTATCCCATGGGATGATGGCGTGCTCCCTGGACATCCGAAATTGGCTGTCATAGAATGACCAGGCCATGCCTGGACGACGGTGTGCCAAATCCCTTACTATTTCCCCATATTTCATGAGTTGGGGAGTTTCATGTGGGTAGTAGCTTGAGTATATTGCTACGAACCTTAAGAAGGCGGAAGTCCAGGAATCAATGGTATAAATTTTCTTAGCATTGTTTGAGGGCGCTAAGCTGAGTTGATCCTTAGAGTTAATAGTTAGTGCGAAACTGGGTGTTTGGTAACCTGTTGTCGGTAGGAGATTAGCAAAATCTATGAATTTGTTGTATTTGATTTTTCTGGCTATTGATTTGGAAACCGAATAAGAAATCGGTGTTGACACCGGCTCCGAAAACCTAAAGGTGTTTGTACCTGTCACCAGGCGTGAGTGATTGTTAAATATATCTGCCATTGGATCAATGTAATCGCTGTCGGAATCCGATGAATCGATTTCAACTGGGCTCTGGTTCGACACAGAGTCCATGTCACTCTCTGAACTGTCCTCCACCTCCATATGTGATGTGTTCGGCCTGTGAGAAAGGGGTGTAGGCGCAATTGCATTTCTTGAAGATCTTTTCTTTTGAGCAGAAGATCGGTCTGCAGAGGATTGTTCAACACCAGCGTTATCAAGGCTTGATGTACCAAGATCTGTTTTTTGTGCTTTCCCTTTCTTTGTTTTCTTTGTTGCTGTCGTTTGAGTTGTGCAGCAAGGCATAGCACAAGCACTCACTGTAGCTGAGCGCTTATGTCGCTTCATCTGAAAAACATGGATAAAGCATAAATGAAACCCATCATATGTTAAACAGAGTGTGAAAAAATAAAAAATAATAATAATTGTTCGACAAAAATTATCAAAACTTTTGTCAACCCAAATGAAACATCTGAGCCTTGTCCTGTACTGAAGAAGAGAATTGCATTTATATGTATAACAACAAAGGCTTGAAAAAAGATTTTATCTGGCTATAAAATGTATATATCACCAATGTCAAATAGCTTCTATATCTTTGACTCGCACGAACATGATGTTAGTGAATTTCCTCATACCTGTAACAGTCTTCTATTATATTTAAGAAATAATATATCCCAAACAGTGATTTTATCGCTCAATAACATCACTGTTTGGAGTTCAGATGCGAAGAAGTATATCACGAGGGCGTAGCTCGAGTGATATTATGATGCGCATCCGAACGACAAACAGTGATGTAATCAAGCGATAAAATCACTGATTCGGATATATTATTTCGATTCTAACACGACATAAACAATAAATTTTGCCGTACCTGATAATAACCTAAATTGCACCTGATTTGTTTCCGTACTTATTTTCAGAGTCGCAATTTTAGTGGTTACGTCAGATGTATATAATGATTACGTCATAAGTCTAAATATAGAACGTCAACAGTGACTTTGTTGCATAATAATACACACTTCCGGTTCTTCTATGTTCAATAGGGAAAAATGCGGGTCGTGTTAGAATAATAAATACTGTATCACCATGTAACGCGTGCATAACAAACAAAAAATTCCTGAATTTGGTCTTTTTAAAATTCATCCCATTTTTTTCATTCCAGAGTGTGTTCTACTTTTAGTATTGAAAGAAACCATTTTTTTTTAAATTTGACATGAAAAAAATGCATGTTATATTAGATCTAGTATTAGTCACTGTATATTATAATTAATATTAGTATCTTTTGTAACTATTTGTATATTTGTGTATTGTCCAGGTCAAGCAAATATAACTGCCAAGACGAACTTGTTTGGTATGAGATAAAACACAACACTTAGGTTGAATGAAATAGGGCATTTATTAAATGCCATAAATGACAAATGTTACATAATAACAAACATGGCATGTACATATTTGTATCGAAATAACCAAACTGGGAGGTAAAAACTGAAATAGGGCATTTATTAAATGCCATAAATGACAAATGTTACATAATAACAAACATGGCATGTACATATTTGTATCGAAATAACCAAACTGGTAGGTAAAAACCGCCAGATTATGATATACATTGTAATGTAATGATTAACTACAAAATTAAAATAAACTTTCAAATAGATAACAATTTAGCAAAAGTTATAACAGATGACGAATTGTATATTTGTTACAATTATAATAATAATAATAAAAAACAGACTTTGATATTTTTATCATCTTATGTTACTGACTACAGTAGTGACACAAACAGAACATAGTACAGTCATGTCACATAACATTTACAAGTCTTGTAAGTCTTGTTTGTATTCATTGGAATTACTTTCCTTACCAGGTAGGCATCAGTGAAAGCATTTTTTTATATTAAATATCTTTCCCCTCTTTTTAATTATGGACAGTGCATAAGATAAGTATAATTATGCAAAAAATGGTTTACAAAATATTCGGAAAAAATCTACAATAGTATCCACATACTGCCAGTTTTCAATCACAACCACTTTTCAATCATCCCTAGATTTTTTTAATTTTTAACCTTATTTGTCATGTAACCAAACTGTAAGCACATCTTGTATTCACCTTGACTAAATTTATCAGCAGCAATGTCAATTATGGCGATAAAAAAAGAAAATGCTAGCATTTTAGTTCAAAATATGTAAAATGTGTGTTTTCCAATAATCTTTTATTTACCCAGTTACAAATCGCAATAATTTTCTAAAAATAATTGATTTACAGACTCAGTTTTTTGTCAGTCTGCAGAAATGGATATTAAGTTGGACAACTGTTTCAATATCATGAAGTCATAATGTATACTGCACTTAAAAAAGCTGTAATTTTAATATGTACATATTTTGCCATACAGTTCTTAATTGGAAGGTAATACATCAGTAAAGTAACAGTCACTTAACCAAGGGAAAACATTCTCTGTGATAACTTTTCAGTAAGCAGTCACTAGAATGGGGTCATATAGACCCTAAGATCCTAAAAATTTCACAAGAACATGCTTTTTCTGTTATGCAAATTGAAATGTACATCCATACCCCAATTGTGACAGCTTTACCACTGCAAATAGATATCAAGATTGAAAAATGGCATTATAATTAGGTTAAAATTGTTTATTACCACTTATCTGAAGTTGAGTTTGTCAAAACATTTCCAAGATACAGAACTAATTATATTTTAACATTGTATGACAATTTTTATGTGGTACAGTTTACATTTTGTTAACTGATTGAAAGGTGGTTGTGAAATTTTGAAGAACAGGAAAATGGGTCAGTAATGATTTGTCCTCGATTCATAGTAATAATTCAAGTAAAATTTTAAAAAGTTGGTGCATTTATTAGCTGAAATGATAATATTCGCAGAATTGAAAGAGAATTTTTTTATATATCATTTCACTGTCGGTTATTGTTGAAAAATTTGTTAGTTGATCGGAAAGAGGCAGTACGGGGATACTTAAAAGTCTTAATCTGAATATAACATGACCTGTGCGTAAGAATAATTTGGTAAGGTATCTCTAATGAGCGCATTTTTTGCGCGGAGCTTCTCAATTGCTGCATTGCAGCAACATTTGTACTTGTTACTAATAGGCATTATTATAATATGTAATGAAATCAAGCAATAATCTTTCTTCTCTCAATACAATTCGATAAAAGTTACTGTTGTTGTCGTGAAAACAGTCCTTACTTAGGACAGTACTTATTCTGCAAAAAGTCTCAATCTGAAACTTAAAGTAAGAAAAATAGCAAACTATAACTTTTCTGCTGAAGAAAAAAAGTAATACAACCTTTCAAGAATGTATTAAATAGAAGGGTATGAGTTATTTCATAAAAATAATGGATACACGAACTTTGTTTGAAATTTGGCAAGTATCTAAACTGTAACCGAAATCTGGGTATAAACTGTAACAAAATTGGACCAAAGTCGCTAGGTCTATGCTGTAACCCTTCAATATTAACCTCGCTCTAAACTGTAACATTGTTTATTCTTTCAAACGCATTTTACCAAGAGGAAAATAGGTTCAACTGGTCATTTACTTTTATAAACGTTTCTAAACACAAAGGACTAACGTTTTGTAGATTTACTTTATATAGGCATGCTTAAACAATGTCGGAATGGGAAAAAATGAGTTGGTCTCTCGATTCAAATTTTTTAAGCCTTCAAATCTGCACATTTATGAGACAATTAATATAGAGATAAATCTGCGGTGCAGGGTCTGAAGAAATATTTGACTAGATACCGGATTCTGTTCCTTACAAGCAAAGCACATAAACGTTTTTAGAAACTAAACTACTAGTACTATGGTCCTGAATAAAAATCACCTACATCACTTCCCATAAATAATCCTCCATCTTGAAAATTCTATACTGTAACCGAAAAACGCGATACTGTAACACGTTCCCTACGGTGAACCGATTCGGTAGCTTATTTCATAAACGTAATGGTAACGGTAACATATTTTCTACATTCCTTTAAGATCTTAAGGTTTTATAGTCTACTTTGAGGATCAAAGGTTAAGTGCCAATTAAACTTTTGCCTGGGAGCAACTAAGATGAATTATAAATTATGAAAGAAGTGTTTTTTTATAAGTATTAACAGATTCTTATGTTAGTTAGGCACTGGAAGCTTCAATATATATTTTTTATACTTTATACACTTATTCATAAAACGATTCTTACATTTTAATATTCAATGGCTGGAAAAGTGAAGTATTCGTGGTTTTAACATGATACCCATCTTCAAACAACTTACTTGAATTCTGTGTTAATATTGCAAACTTTTTGCGATCCCTCGAGAGAAGAGAAAGCAAAAAGTGAAAAGAGTGAACACTTAATTTGATCGAGTCTGATTATGAGAAATAATGGAAAATATGCAACATAATTCACATCCAACGGCAGGACTGGCTTAAGCAGTATTTAAAAACACTAATACATATTCTGTAAACATCTTAAGTATAAAATAAATCGATAAAATACTGACGTATCTAAAGTCATTGCAGTGCTGCAAAAAGGAGATATATATTATATGCTTAACACAGCTTAGTCAAAATATATTGACGTGCCAAAGCTTGATTCTGACGCGAGATATTGCCCAGACACGAAAATAGCACAATATCTCGTCGCGCTGTACAATTTGTTGGACTAAACACAGCTATACAAAATCATGCAATAAACACTTTTATATTATGTTTATTAATCTATTTATTATTTCGGGAGGGGATGAAGTCCCACAAACTTTGTAAAGGTCATATGACGACTGATGCATTAGAAATATAAAACGTTTATCCCGTTTCGTAATTTTAGATAAGCTTATGTAAATTCAAATTTTATTACGAGCGCATTTACTCAGACGAATTTCCAATAGCTTACATGGCCTTAATACAATAATCAAAATACCTGTAATATACACTTCTAACATTCTAGCATTAAACATTTAATTGGAATCGAGTTTTCAATCAAATTCTGGGAAAACGTTTTCGCTAAGTGCTCACAAAGTAACAGCTAATTAGATGTCAATTACATATGTTAAGGTGTAACTGGCTGTCACTTAACCTTTGTATAACTAGCAGATTTTAGTGAAAGCTTTTAATGCGCATTATGCTAATAACCTACTCAGTTGAAATTTACAATTTCACATTTAATCGAATGAAATTGTCTGGAATACTTGACACGATTAAATGAGTAAAATAAACTTAAATCATAACATTATTTTTAAATAATAAAGCTAGCTGAGTTTCATTAACACATCATTGTTTCAAGCCTTTAGATTTAACTAATGCTGATTTGTCACATGAAATATTAAAATATAACATAGCCATT